ATTAAATTGTAGCATATAGTTTTCTTATATGGGAAAAATATTCTACCTCCATGCATAAATAAACGTTAATTTTAGTATTCAGTTGCTCCATCTCACTAAATTTTCATATGAGTTTGATGTACATACACAAGCATATACTTTATTATCAAGCAAAAAATCGGATATTAATTAGAAACTACATATTATGCAGTATGTACTACTAGCTAGTTTCAAAAGAACTAAAATATTTTTTTAAGGAGTCTCTTATTTTAAGCCTTCCTACTCATTTTTTACCTATGAAGGATTCATTCTTTACCTATGAAGGATTCTTTGTTTTAGGGAGGAGAGAACCATGGTTTGTACACCGTTAGAAGTGCCTATAGAATTACAATAGAGATGTGTGTAAGGCCATCTTCAAGGTATCTCCAAAACTGCAAATATTCACACCATCCCACCATCGTAGCAAAATAGACTTCTCCAACGTGCAGCATCTCAGCGGCAAAACGCCAAAAATTTTGGCATTGATGAACAGTGCCGCGCCATATATCGCGCCACACTGTTCATCCACGACATTTTCTAAAAATATGTTTAATTTCGGTTTTGCCTCTACTTTAATTTGTTAATTTATTTTGTATCCTTTATTTGTTTTGTATTTATATATTTTGTTAAATACTTAAATATAAATATTATATTATTATAAAGAAATTATATCATTTGAAAGATACGATTAAAACAAGACTAATATTAAATTTAAATTAATTAAAAATTAAAATAAATAAAACATAACAACAACATAAAAATGTTGTTACTAAAAATTTATTATTTACATGACAAATTATATTTTATATTAAACTAATTAAATTTGAATTAATTAAAATTTAAAATTAGAGAAATTATATTATTTTAGTGTTGAATAACATTTGATGTGATATTTGGTGGAGATTTTGGTGTTTTGGTGTAATGCGTTGGAGATGAATAAAATTTGGTGTATAGAATATTCTCTTTGATGTGACATTTGGTGAAGATTTTTGGTGTTTTGGTGTTAAATAGGTTGAAGATGCTCTAAATGAGATTGATTTTGAATGGACGGGTTTGTGGAAACTACATATACCACCAAAAATAAAGTGTTTTTTTTTTTTTTTTTCGGAGAGTGGGGGGCCTTAGGGTTGGGGATTCAGCCTTTTGGGTAAAAATAAAGTGTTTTTCTGGACATTACTAGTCAGCAGCAAATACCTGAGCAATGGTGTCCTCCTCCACGACATTTTCTTAAAGTAAAAATCGACGCTGCTATGGATTTTGACAATAGGCGTATGGGTTTCGGATGGGTGGTTCGAAACGACGAAGGTATTGTGCAGGGGGTGGCAATGACAAAAGTTAAAGGTTTGTTTACAGTTTGAAAAGTAGGGGTGTTAACGAACAGAGCTTTCGGTAAACTACTCGTGTTCGTGTTCGTGTTCGTGTTTGATAAGCATTCGTTTATTAAGATAAACTAACATTAACAAACAAAATTTAGAGCTCGGTTTATAAACAAACAGAATCTAAACAGTTGTAAGCTCGTTTGCTAAGAGATCGTGAACAAGCTCGTTTGTGTTCGTTTAATAATGTTCGCGAACAAGCTCGCTTAGTGATCGTTTAATAATGTTCGCGAACATGCTCATTTGTGTTCGTTTAATATTTGTTTGTATTCTCTTTGTAGTTGTGTTACTTGTTTGGTTATTTTTTGTGAACATATATTATTTTTTTGTTCACGAACGAATTGTGATCATGAACATATTCATATGTTTGATTATTAAGCATTCACAAACATGTTTATAAACATGAACGAACATGTTTACAAATATTAATGAACATGTTCATGAACATACTTGTTAACAAACATGTTCGTTAATGTTAACGAACACGTTCGTGAACGTGTTCGCGAACGTTAACAAACACTAATAAACGCTTAACAAACGAACACGAACATGAACACTCTAAAAACCTTAACAAACGAACACGAACAACCTCCGTTTGCTTATATTCGGTTCGTTAACAGTCCTATCGGAAAGCGGATGCTATGGGGGCTTGGGAAGCGTTGAGCTGGATTAAAAGTAAAGGGGGGGTGGAGGGTGATCCTTGAGACTGATGCACATGTGGTGACAAAAGCAGTGGAACAAGGCGGCAATATTACTCCATATGGTATTATCATTAAGGAAATACATACGATCCTACAGTAGCTTGACTCAGTTACTCTCAGTTTTGTGCACCGTGATCGTAATATGCAGGCTCACGTGTTGGCAAAGAAATCTTTATGTAGTTCGGGCAACAAGCTGGTTGAGTTTTTTTTGTTTTATTTTTGTTTTTTTGGGCAAATTGTAAAAAATGCCCCTCTATAATATGCCACTTATCAATGCCACCCCTGAATTATGAGTGGTGTAAATGTTGCCCCTCAATTATCAAAACGGTGCACATATAGCCCCTCCCATAACGGACATGTGGTTCTCAGTTAGTGTACGACACCGTTAAGTCAGAGTAAATATGTAATTTAGTTGTTTTTGCCCTCCATTGATTCGAAGTACCAGCGATGGACAGCGGTGGGGAACCACAAGTCCGTTACGGGAGGGGCTATATGTGCACCATTTTGATAATTGAGGGGCAACATTTACACCACTCATAATTCAGGGGTGACATTGATAATTGGCACATTATAAAGGGGCATTTTTTACCATTTTCCTTTTTTTTTTTTTTTTTTTTTTTTTTTTTTTTTTTTAAATTCCTCGTTGTCTTTCTACCTTGGTTTGTACAAATGCTTGGATTAATATATGAGGTTCTCTCGTGTTTGTTTAAAAAAAAAATGATATGATTTAAAATATTAATTAATGTTAGATGATATTGACTTTCGAGTAACAAATTAAAACATCAACTATTTTAGGGACGAAAGAGTAATTAATTAATTATTAATATAATAAAACTCATATTTCAATATAAATAATTTTGACCATTTAATTTCATTAATGAAGAAAAACGTTTCGTAGTAGCCCATTGATTAGGTCAAATGTTTGACTCCCATCAAGTTCTTAGGCTGCTAAATTTCTAACTACCAATTAATAATTATACTTTAGTCTACGGTATTAATAAATGCATTTCTTCAAATAAGAAAAAAAAAAAGATAAGTGAAGTAAAAGCATCTTATATTATTTATATTATTTATTAATATGGGAAAAGCACACCAATAAATTATATGGGAAGGGCTAGCATCTAGGGGCAACTTGGTAAATTCATAATCATTTTCTTCTATTTGTGCTGCATTTTTTTTTTTAGTTTGATATACCTTTTTTCTGATCAAATAAATCTCGTTTGATATATTTTGTTATATATATAACAATCACTATTTACATAATAATTTTACAATTTTCTTTATACAAATTATTTTGAGATGGAATGAGTATATAATAAGTGACTTTATCACTTTTTGTCTAAATATTAAATTAAAATAAATAAGACAACTAGACTAAATACTTGTAAATGATTTAATAGATTATTCACAAGAATCCTAAATAAAGCAGCCATTATTTAAGCGAAGATACACAGTAAATCAGTAATATACTACTATCAAACTGTTATACTTTTCTCAAAAGGTTAAATCCTCGACCCCAATGGTCCCGGACCCTAGTTCAATATAGTATTTGAGATAATTTAAACCACGGTGACTCAATGACTCATCAGATATAGTCAAATGTCGGTGCACATAAATGATTTGTCTAATTTAGACATAATCTTCACACTGTCATTATTAAAGTTTAAATTTTGATATGTTTTTTCAAATATTTTCTACTAAACTAATGAGTTAAACCCGTGAAAACATATACTGGGATACTAAAAAGGCATGCGGTTGAGACAAAACTTCACTACCGTGCACTGCGTGGTGGCATATGATTAGCGAGGCTGACTAATGTGCGCTCTGCGTGTCTTTCTGTCCTTGTCAAAAGTTCAGCTCTATCTTCTAACCAACCAATCACCTTCTTCCATGTCACTGGGACAGTATCAGTTTCTGTGCAACCACGATGTGCTAGATCTGTGGGTGCACCCACTTTCCATGCAACTAACGAATCAGGTACCTGTAACTGTCCAAGCTTATTATTAGAAATAAATTTTAAATTAATTCTACTCACCTTTTTTCCGTGTACTTCAAATATATATATATATATATATATATATATATATATATATATATATATATATATATATATATACCCATCATAAGTGCACACAAACTGCTATAAGAATGCACTCAAATTAAATTGTGTGCAATGTGGCCAGCATGAATGCACAGAAACTACCATGTATGTATTCGTGTAGTAGCTTGTGTGCACTTATGAAGGGTTTTCGGGGCTCACGCGAACATGAGGATGCACTTAAATATTAAAAATATAATGGTAAGATATTGATTTAAAAAAGATTTAGTTATCAAAATGATCCCTTGATTATAACAAAATTACGAATTTGATCCTTGATTATTTTTTAGCCTAATTAAGTCCTTCAACTTTAAAAAGCTTAACCAATTTGGTCATCCGTTTATTTAGTCATTAGGCGTCTATTTACTCGGTACTAAATTTGTAATTTCTCTATAGTCAAGAGACCGTTTCAGTAATTAACTCTTCGGTTTAATAAGATAGGAAATTGTGCATGTGATGACCGAAATGGTCCATTGACTATTACAAAATTACTAATTTTGTCCCCAGTAAACAAATGTCTGACGGCTAAATAAACGGATGATCAAATTAGTTAAGATATTAAAAATTGAAAGATTTAATCAGCTAAAGAAAATCAAGGATCAAATTGATAATTTAACTATATTCAAGGACCATTTTGGTAATTAACTTTTTTTAAACAAAAATGGTGAAGATTGTAAAGAAGGGAAAAGATTTTATTTATTAAGTATTAGGGCCACAAGAAAACTTGTGGCTGAGAAAATGAATGGGGCGGTGACGTGGCACCCACATTCTCCCTCTCCCTCTTTTAATTAAACGCCCGATCAAAATCACAGTCCTTAGCATAGCCAACGAGGCCTTTTCAGAATTTACAAATTCAAAAACTCTCCCCAAACGCCCCCTTAGCTATTTTCTTTCTTTTTTTTTTTTACGTTTCCCAAACCCACTCGCCGCCGCCCACGACGGAGCGTGGCTAAACCACTTCATTTTTTTTGTACCGAGAAAAATGAGAGAAGTGAAGGACTCGGAGATCAAGCTGTTCGGCAAGAAAATTGCCTTGCCGGAGTACGGCAGGGTGGTGCTCGCCGCCGCCGGAGAATACGCTGAGTCATGTGAAAACGACTGTGGCTCCGAGCGCGATCGCTGTTCGGATGACAGCAAACTCAACGGTAGCTCTGGGAAGGGAGGAGCTGATGTTGACGAATTTGATACACAAAAGCGAGAGGATGATGATAAGGTAATACTCCGTATTCGATAATATAGTTCCGGAAATTGGATGAGGATGTGAAATTCGATAATCTAATTCCGAAAATGATACGCATAAGAAAATTTTCAATAACTTAATCACAACATATATATTTCTAGTTTAATCTCTACTGAAAGAATACGGTTTTTCCTTTCTGTTAAGTTAATGGGATTTCAAACTTTTCAGAGTGGTTCTGATTTCATAATTTTGCGGCCTTTCTGTTTAATTGGCAGATGAATTGTATTATAATTTTTTTTTGTCTTAATTATTTCAGAATTATTGAATTATCTATAGACTATAGCTATAATCAGTAATTGCTGTTTTTTTCAGTGTTTTAAAATCATTATAAGACCTTCAATTAATCTATAATCTTCAAATAGTTGATCTAATAGCAACATCAATCTTAAGGCTATCAGCCAGAAAGCTGGAAAAAGTTTTTTAATTTATCTGTACGGCCTTACTCTGACAGAGAGTGTATGGATTCTGCTAAGTGTTTTTGAAAGCATTTTTGGTAACTTGAGAGTTGAAAGTGTGCCTGCTTGGTTGCTTGCTTGTTTCTGGAAGTTTCCACTTCTACCATGGCTCCAAGAGTATATGTCTGTACTAGTTCCTGAATTGATGGCATCACTTGCTATTCACATCTCTCATGTTTATGCTTAGTTGAGTCACTTGAGTGTGTTTACTATATGTTAATGTTTATCACTATAAGTTAACTGGTGTTCTTTGTGATTTTTTGGTGTTTTTTAGTATTTTGCTATATCTTGTAGCTTTACCAGATATAGATAGATAGAATCAGCTTCTCTGCATTGTTGTCTTTGCCATTTTAGTAGTGCCACTTCTTGGTAGTTTGTGTTCTGTTTTAGGGCGTTATTTATAGCAATTTGAGAGGCAACTCATAGAATGTTGTGTTCAATTTTTTTAGGAACTTTTATCAGATGAGTTTTCTGAAGAGAAAGATCAAGATCAGGACATGGATGAGTTAGAGAGTACTAAGAATGAGTCAGAATCAGACAACAGTGTCAAAACTCCCCCTGTTGATGAAGACTCTCCTTCGCCAAAACTTTCCAAGACTGAAAGTGATCAAACCGAAACAAACAATTCAGAGCAGAAAACTCTGAAGAAACCTGATAAGATTCTCCCTTGCCCTCGTTGCAATAGTATGGATACAAAGTTCTGTTACTACAACAATTACAATGTCAACCAACCTCGTCACTTCTGCAAGAGTTGCCAGAGGTACTGGACTGCCGGGGGTACCATGAGGAATGTGCCGGTGGGGGCTGGTCGTCGCAAAAACAAAAATTCTGCGTCTCATTGCCGTCATATTACCATCACTGAAGCCCTCCAAGCAGCAACGTATAAACCCAATGGCACTGTCCTGTCCTTTGGTCCCGAATCACCACTTTGTGAGTCTATGGCATCTCTTTTGAATCTTGCTGATAAAAAGGTGCCAAATGGGATGCGGAACGGTTTCTACAAGCATGAACAGGGGAATTCTTCTAATAAAGTTGGAGAAAATGGGGATGATTGCTCTAGTGTGTCCTCAGTCACTACTACAAGTTCTGTGGCAGGAGGTAAAATTCCCTCCCAAGAGGCAGTTATGCCAAATATAAACGGCTTTCCTTCCCCGGTTCCATACCTTCCTGGAGTCCCCTGGCCTTTCCCATGGAATGCGGCAGTTCCTCTGCCAGCCATTTGCCCCCCTGGATTTCCTATGCCGTTCTGCCCTGCACCTTATTGGAATTGTGCAGTTCCTGGTCCATGGAGTCTTCCTTGGTTGGCTCCACCATCTCCAACTGCAAACCAAAAAGCATCAAGTTCCGCTCCTAATTCTCCCCTAGGGAAGCATTCTAGGGAAGGGGAGCTGCTTTCTCCCAAGAATCCCGAGGCTAAAGAATCATCTGAACAAAAGAGCTCTGGAAATTCAGTTTTGGTTCCAAAAACTTTGAGGATTGATGATCCTGATGAAGCTGCAAAGAGTTCAATATGGTCAACACTTGGGATAAAATATGATTCCATTAGCAGGGGTGGGCTTTTCAAAGCCTTGCAACCAAAAAGTGATGAAAAGAGTCACACAGCAACTCCTCCTTCAGCATTGCAGGCTAATCCTGCAGCACTATCTAGATCTCTCAGCTTCCAGGAAAGCGCCTAAAGTGGGACTTGGAAGACTGTCCAATTCAGAACTTGGCTACTCTTTTTTACAACTTTTACCTCCTTAAAAGTGCATCTTTGTTCCAGGAAAGCGCCAACAGTGGGATATAATCTGCAGAGACGAGACGCTAAAATTCCCTGAAAGCCACAGCCTCTAGTTAAACTGGAAAGTGACTTGGGAAAGCTAATGTTATCCTAGAACAATGGTGCCTTTTTTTGTTGTACTAAATGGGTGTGTTTTCATGTACATAACTTCATACAGCTGACAGTAGAATGGGAAGGAGTGAGATATTAGACTAGACCTTATATATGTTGTAACTATTCTCAAAGTGGTTTCTTTTTTGTGGGTATTTTCTTAGTGGTTTGAATAAAAGTGAACTCTCTTGGAGATTCTGCATTCTCTAGATTTGTTGTACTACAAACTATTGATCCTCTTCTTCATGGCTACTTCCAAGTATATTAGCAGATTGGCTTAAGCAAATCCCAGCAAAAAAGTTTCAAACATTTTCGATCAACTTTTTGAGAAAGTCATTTTGAATGTAATCAGATATGAGTTTCTTTGTACAAACCTAATCAGCTAACATCTCTTTAACAAACACCACATAATGATTAAAAGGTTAAAATTTAGAGTGTTGAAATCATATGATTTCTCTTTTTGACTAAACTTGGGTTGAAGTGGTGTTGCATTGTGGTCAATACATGCCACCAGGCACCAGACTTTGAAATTCTGTAATGCCCCATTTTATGCATAGAGGAGCTTTAGAAATCTAGAAAAGAAATCTAGAAAAAGGCAAGCATGCTTTCCTTTTCAAGTACAGGCAATGAATTGAAACAACTTGCAAAAAGAAGGTGGAAAGATGATACATGAAAGTTCATTTCCCCCTTTCCTTTTCCTCTCCTGGTCCTAGGGGACCACAACAGATAAGCAACTTATAATTTTCTTTTTCTCATTTTCTTTTCTAATTATCCAATCATATATAAGGATTATATATATATATAAACAAAATCAAATAATCACTATTACTATTCCTATTACAACAGTTTTGGTTCACAGAATAAATTTTGATAAAATATGAATGTTATTCTATAATAATAGAATAGAGAAGAAATAGAGTGAATTATATATTTCACTGTTTAGTTCGTGGAATGAATAGATTTCAGAAATTGTATTCTAGTGTTTGATTAGTTTAAGGAATAAAAAAGTAGTGGCATTTTCTAGAATAATTTGAACTTTAAGTGCAAGTAATAACACTATGGAGTGCACTTATTAACATCATAGAGTGCATTGCGCAAGAGAGAATTAGGAACCAATCAGATCCGTTCATCAGGAAAGATCTAACATCTTTAAAGTAAGGAAAGAGAGAAAAAATGCAATAACATTTTCATAAATAATTTGAACTTTGAGTGCAAGTAATAACATTATGGAGTGCACTTAGTAACATCATAGAATGCATCCCATGATACGTATATGTGCAGTGAAATTCTCCACCTTTTACAATTTATGGTTTATTATTATTATTATTATTATTATTATTATTGTTGTTGTTGTTGTTGTTGTTGTTGTTGTTGTTGTTGTTATTATTATTATTATTATTATTATTATTATTATTATTATTATTATTATTATTTTGTTTAGTTTATGGATTAGCTGTTTTAATTTGGTATAGAAGTTCACCTTAGATTTTAGTGGTTATTGCTAGCTTTTAGATTGCATCTAGCAACAATATAAAGTACATTGAACAACAATATTAAGTGCACCTAACGTTATCATTTATTGCACTGAATGTGAAAGCTAATTACACTTTTTAAAACTCTATGTCTTAGTTTTTTTCTATTTGGTTTAAGTGTTCACTTTTTACTATTTAGGAGTTTAAATTTTATGGTTTAGTTTTGAATTTAGTTTTCTAGATTTATCAGCAAATGCACTATGCGGTTTTACTTATTTTCACTTTATATGTTGAACGTTGCACTTTATAGTGTAGCTACTTGAACTTTAAAGTTTGAATTATTTATAAAAATATCACCACATTTTTCTTTTATAATTGCTTACGATCTATTAGATCTTTCAAGATGTATGCCATTGATTAGCTCCTAGTTTTCTCCTAAGCAGCAGTTCTCACAGGAGCACTCTTATATATATATATATATATATATATATATATATATATATATATATATATATGAAGTGAGAACTAATAGCATTTTGATAATGCGCAGACTAATTTCATTCGTCCATGATGAAACCTTTTTATATTTATTTTTTTAACCCAAAGCCAATGATGAAACCTTTGACCTTTGGTTAATGATGAATGAGTTCCTTCCACTCAACCACACCCTATGTTAACTTTTTATATTTATTGATTGTTCATAAAAGGCAGACAAGCTAAATGTTAGTGCACACAAATGATCTATCTACTTTGGACATAATCTCTACACTACCATTGTCGAGTTTCAAACCTTATTCTCTTCTTTCAAATATTGTCTACCGAACCAATGAGCTAAGTCTCCTCTCCCATATATCATATATGTCCTGTGATATATTTATGGATTAATTAATGTTATTACAAACAAATGTGATGAAACATATAAAATCCAATACAAACAACATTTGTTGCCTTGCAATTAGGGGAAAAGGATTAATCTCCAACGAGTTGTTGATGTGGACAGTTGAAAGTTGAAATTGGGTGTGGTGGGCACTTGAGAGAATACCAAAACAATAAGTACAAAACAGGGAGATATTTTTGGTTGGTTTAAACAAATGTAAGCCACATATTTAGTTTTGCCGTGGGGACCGCATGCACTTAATGGCAAATATGCTTTTGTCATTCACATTCTTCAACTTTTTTTTTTTTTTTTTTTTTTTTTTTTTTTTTTGCCCTTTCCCTTTTAGAGTGGCATATATCTGGGTGACAAAATTAATATTTTATCCCTATATGCATGTGCTTTTGTTTTCTTTCCTTTCCTTTTCTTTGGGGCATTTCACTATACAAACTCCTGATTATTCAAGGTGGGGGTAAGCTAGTCATGGCCATTCCTTTTTCATAAAAATCTGGCAATTCAATCTTGTATTTGTAATGTATAACTAACATCTACAATTTGGTCATAATAGTTTTGACTCCTTGCAGGAGTTTCATGTTTTATAATGCCTTTTTAGAGATTTGATTTTTATTAGGATGTTAATCGGGCAAGTTGGTTAGTTTCGGGCTAGCTTTATTGAATTGAAGAATTTATCATTTCGAACTTTTTAAATTTTATTTTTTTTGTTGGGTTTAAAGTTATTGACCCTAATCTTAAAATCGCGAATTGTCAGGCTTATCGTGTTGAAAATATATCATAAAATGATATTTTAAGTGGCTATTTTGTGGTACAATTATTAGTGGGCCCACTTTCGATTTGGGTCGGGTCAAAGTGGATTAAGGTTCTTCGTAGTGAGACGAAGAGATTGATATATTGTACGCTCAAAACGGATAATGGGTGAATGAGATCTTGATTCTCAAAGTAAATCCATTTGAGTTGGAAAAATGAAGAAAAAAGGCTTTTAAATAGCTTTGCTCCCACATTGTTTTGGGAAGTGGGTTTGCACCACTATTTATACAAGAGTTTTTCTAAGATTTATAGAATTAGATTGCTTGACGTTTCAGAGCTTACAAAGCTGATTTAATATCAATTTTAAATTTCGAATTAAACTCTCAGGTACTGACCTGCTGTTTCGGAATTAATTTTGAATTTGAATTTCGAATTAAACTCTCAGATACTGGCCTGCTATTTCAGATGTTACAAAGCTGATTTAATATCAATTTTAATTCCAATTTTGAATTTCGAATTAAACTCTCAAGTACTGGCCTGCTGTTTCAGATGTTACAAAGCTGATTTAATATGAGTTTTAAATACTTTTAATGTCATGCATTAAGTGCTATTTAATCCTCAACCACTATATAAGTTGATGGTAGAGCAGCATAATTTTACACACAACAAATCATTCTGTTTTCTCTCTCGACACTCTGTTTCTACTCTTTTCTTAGCCAACTTGTGTTCATCCCAAAGCTCTAGTTCGCCGGATTCCATTGTTTGGGTGTTCAAACTTAGAATCGTAGTACATTTTATCCTGAGAAATCTAGGCCGTAACGCTCCTAGCACCCTTGGGAGACGACAAATAAGGTTTTAAGGAGAGAGTGCAACTCGACTCGTACTTACAAACTATCCTTAAAATCCCTTCGTCCCCGTGGTTATTTTTCTTCCCAGAAATTTACAGTTTTTTCCAGAAAATAATAATCCTTTTTCCGTAGAATTATTATTATTTTTCATGTATTTCCTACAACATATCGGACGAACTCAACTAAAATTTTTGACATTATGAAATTAACATTTTATTAAACCTAAAAAAAAAAAAAACATATACATCATTCAACCTAAACCTCCATTTCGAAATTCCAACTAAAAATAATTAATATACATTATAATATAATAATTATAATAAGTTTTTTCATTATTAATTTTCATAAAAAATAATTTTTTTTTGAATGCTCATAAAAAATAATTTATTTTGTAAATAATTTATTAATATATTTATTAAAATGTTATTTAAAAGTTTAATAAAAAAAAATACTAAAAATGATATAAACTCGTATATTTTGTTCAACATCATTTGTGAAATAAAGAATAGCCATAAGTAGCTTAGGCTATCGGTCTAGCCAACAAATTATTCTGTGGACCTAGGTCCACCTTGCAAGGTAGACTCGGGTCCAATGATACACAATTTACATTCTATCTTTTGTTATGTTCAAGAGAAAATTTCAATTTTGGTCCACTGACTATTGGAGTTGTGTTAATTGTAACACTTGACTTTAAAAAATGTTAATTTAGTACCTTGACTATGCAATTTCTATCAATTTTGGTCACGCAAGCCAAATTGCCGGCCAAATTCCACCTGAAAAATTTAATAGGTCAAATAATGAGGGTATTTTAGTCATTTTACTCACCACCCCTTTTTTCTCCGATGAGCTTTTCTCCATTTCCGGCGACGAACAACCTTGATTTAAAAACACAACACATAGTATAAAGAGAGGTTGAAACAATAATTATATTCTTGAAGCTCACTTCCATATATAGATTATATTCAATCTTTGGAGAAGATTATATTCAATCAAACAACATATGGAGCTTCAGAAGTTGCAGAAGTATTAACGCCGGCAGGAAAACAACTTAATTAAATTAGTATTTTTGATCGATCTTCACCTCTATTCTACAACATTATATTCATCATCTAAATCTGGGACTTCATTCAAATCGAATCCAAGTCTATTATTAATTCAATTGTCGCCACCACCATTTCTGTCCTCATCTGCGGCCGTAGTTTCCCAGCCATGACCTCCGGCGAGTCCTGCAGCGGCGACGGTCCTGTTTCTGCAATG